AGGGGGGGTGCATTGGTGCGTGAGGGTGGAGAGCTGTTCACCTCGAAAAGGAATAGAGAAAGAGTTGGGGTGAATGGTTGAAAGACTGGTTACCTAATTGCACACCAGTAGCTAAAGTTAAAGAATTTTGTGAATTCAAAAAAAGACCCAATAATCTGGCTGGCGGGATTGAACTCTTGACCTCCAGTCTAATTAGGGAAAAGCATGAACTTACCGTGGCATTTCCATCTTATAGATTCGATTATGGGGATTCCGAATCTGCTCCTAGTTTTTGCCGAGGACTTCGGAAACGCGAGATATTTAGCATACAAGTTTTTGGCATCCCTATAAAAGGCATCTTTCCCGGTTGCCCGATCTGCGATGGTGGCCGAGTGAATAGAAGGCTGGAGTACAAAATGACCAAGATACATTTTTGCCGTAGGTTCGACTCCCCTTGACGATTTTCCTTTTGCTGTTTTTTGTTTAATTCTTCATTTTTTGGATTCTAACTCCGTCTCCATATTGCTTTTCATCGGAAATTATTTCTAAAAGCATGGATGCAAAAGCGTGGGACAAGCATGTATTCGTTGTCCCAATTGCGAAAATTTTTATTGTTTCTATTGTTTTTAGTCTAGTCACTAGTTAATTCTATTGAGATTTATCTATTTAGAATTTTCTAACAATTTAAATGCTAAAAAAAGAATTTTTTAGGTCGAATTCAAAAGGAAAATCGTCAAGGGGGAGTCGAACCTACGGCAAAAATAGATAGATCACTTTGTATTCCGGCCATCTATCCACTTGGCCACGACCCCTCATTTGGTGGGCGGGAAAGATGCCTTTTATAGGGATACCAAAAACCTTGTATGCTAAATATCTCGCATTTCCGAAGTCCTCGGGAAAAACTAAGAGCATATTCGGAATCCCCATAGTCGAATCTATAAGATGGAGTCAGTCACATAGCGAATGGTCACGGTAAATTCACGCCTTTTTCTAATAAGATACATAGCTCCTAGCCAGTCGGTCTAGCGTCCTAGTCGAGCCAAGCCTCCTCCTAGCCAGTCGGCTGAGCCTTCTAGCGTCCTAGTCGAACCGAGCCTCCTCCTAGCCAGTCGGCCGAGCCTTCTAGCGTCCTAGTCGAACCGAGCCTCCTCCTAGCCAGTCGGCCGAGCCTTCTAGCGTCCTAGTCGAGCCAAGCCTCCTCCTAGCCAGTCAGCGAATTTTCAACTCTTCAAAAAAGTTGACCAAAATAAGCAAAGAGCGATAAGATTTAACGAGATTTTTATACATTGGACTCGTCCGGTTTTCAATTTGCATTGAAAATTAATGCTTAATGCTTAGTTTTTTTTTTCGCTTAAAAACCTTTAGAACCCTCAGAATTTCTATTGTACATTTCCGGAAAACCCAGGTTAAACATTCAGGTAAATAGGGGAAAGGAAAAAGAGATTCAAAAGGGGAATACTTGTTTGAAGTGGCTGTTTTGTGGGTGGTTTCCTCTCTCTCATGGTTCTCTGCATTCTCCCCGCAGGCTCTTTCACAATTTCCCTCTTTTATATCCCCTTTTACAGTTTTAGCTAACAAATCATAACAATTTATCGAATCTATAAAAATCAAAGCATTATTTTTAGCTCTTATTTCAAAATCCTTTGACTAAAGATGAAGCAAGCATGCATCCAGCTGTGAGGGGATTTCAAATAAGAGCTCCTCGATCTGCGAGCTTCTCGATCGGTGGAGCAAATACCGGAACTGATCTCGAAGAGCGATCCTCCTCTTTCTTTCTTTTTCTTCATCATCTTCACCGTTTCTCTTTTCATTCACCTCGAAAAGATTGCAATCAAAAGTGGAAATCTGTGTCTTCGTCTCTTTCTTTATGAGCCATTTCCCATTTCTTCTCTAAAGCGTTGTGCGTGTGTGTTGCAAAATTGCTTTCATTAAAATAGATCATGATTTCTGTAGAATTCCTTGATATTATTCAGTTATATTTTGGTTTAAAAACTGATTATTTGTTCAGTTATTTAGTTACAATTATCTACCGTAAATACTGTAATATTGTTGAAATTGTTATAATGATCCTATATAGCTATTTGTTTAAGAAAAACTGCCGTAAATACTGTACTAGTACCCCAACCCCCTCGTACAGTCGCGTAGTCGAAAAAGTTTTTTGGTATTTAATTTTTTTCAAAGCGCCCGTACTTTCAAAAAATGCACCTTTGGTATCAAAAAATAGCCCTGAATTTCAGCTATTTTTTGATACCTAAGCGCGCATTGTAGCATAAACCAGTCTCGAGAAAAACGCGTTCAAAGCTAGACTACACAACACTCCGCACCGTCATTATGGGGGGTGGGGTACTATTACAGTATTTAAGGTAGTTATCTCAAATTCGTTTAGTTGATAGTCTTGACGGTTTAAGCTTTGCTTTGCTTTGATTTGATTTGCTTTGATTTGATCTGATTAGATTTGCTTTGCTTTGCTTTGCTTTGCTTTAACCTTGAACTATGCTTTATTTTCATAAACATCTAACAATTATTAACAATTCTAAGATTAAATTATTAACATATAAGACTTATTTTTCAGTTTTGTACAACTTTTAAGGCTCTCCGTTACCCATAGAAAGTTGTATAGAGTTCTGTGTCGGTTTTGATATTTTTTCTTCATTCAATCGCTCTCACAAGAAACTTCTTCTCGATAACTATGCATTTTTACAGAAATTTCTCTTTCTCTCTCAAGCACACAGGAATTTGAGAGAAAGAAAAGGTCGAAATGTCTTCTTCTCCTTCTCCTTCTTCTTCTTCTTCTCCTTCTTCTTCTCCTTCTCTTCAATCGTTAAACACTGCGCAGAGTCTTTTGCAGACTTCCTTTCCTACCAAATCCACCTTGAATCTACTTGAATCTCTGTTAAGAAATTTTCGAAACAAAGATTTTAAATCTTGAGATTCAAAGGTTAACTATTGTGGCTGTTGTTAAGCTGTTGTTAAGCTGTTGTTAAGCTGTTGTTAAGCTGTTGTTATAGCCATAAGACCTTGAAATGAATCGGTGATCCTTGCAAAATTTATCAATAGAGCTGTTTTTTTTCCACAAACATTTTCTTTGAGTCAATGTCCTACTTTGATCAATGTCAATGTCCTACTCATTCCGTTCCGTTCAAATGCTCATTTCTTATATGCAAGCATTCTCATATTCAACCTTTTTAAAAGTTTATTTTCAGATTATTAGAGAGTATTATTTTCTTTATCAGTTTCAAAGTTTCAAAAGTTTTTTTTTATAATTCTAAACTTCTTGTAGGTACAGTAGATGTTTAAATATTGTTTTTATTTTCATGAACAATCAAGAATTGTTTATGAGAGAACAGGAGTAAGTGAGCACATGGGTATGAATGGAGGGACAAGTGAGTGGAGGAGTGGAAATGGGAGGAGAAGGGGCATGCAGAAGGGGCATGGATTCTCTATGTCTGTTCTATGGAGCATCGAATTGTGCTGAGTGAAAAAAAAGACTCAAAAATACTACCCCTTTTCACTTTTTTTTGCCTGAAATCGATCACAACGATTGTATGAAATTTCTATACTATTCTAGATATTTTTCTGCTCATTTTTAAATGAAAAACCCGAATTATCGTTTTCAGCGTTTACCGCTGGAGGATCCAGGTATGAGATAAACAAAAAAATAAACAATAAACTGTATTGAAAGTATTGAAAGTATATGCTTTAGTAGGTTGGATAGAACTGTAATCTTATTGTAACTTGTAGCTTACTTTAACTGGCAGCTTCCTGTAACTTGTAGCTTACTTTAACTTATAGCTCGCTGTAACTTGTAACTTACTTTAACTTATAGCTTGCTGTAACTTGTAGCTAACAGTTCTATTACTATTACTGTAAGCTTTGCTACGGTAACGAGCTCGTTACGATTTCAGCGTTTACCGCTGGAAGATCTAGGTATGAGATTGCTGTAACTTGTAACTTGTAGCTTGCTATAACTTGTAGCTTATTGTAACTTGTTGCTTCCTGTAACTTGTAGCTAACAGCTCTATTACTATTACTGTAAGCTTTGCTACAGTAACGAGCTCGTTACTTTGCTATAAACATTCAATAATCTAATCTTTCACTGATCTGCTAAGAACAATGAACCAAAGACTATTTTAATATTTCTATGCTTAAATCTTAAACCAAACAAGTAAGACAAGCTAAAAACCATTAGAAAACTAATACCAGTCTTTAATTTTATACTAAGACAACCGAAAATTTAAAAAATACATAAAAATGATCATTTTCTAGTCTCTTGCTAGGCTTGAGTATTGTTGAATATAAATATTGTTTTTATTTTCATGAACAATCAAGAATTGTTTATGAGGAACAAGTGAGCTAGGCTTGAATATCGTTTTTTGTTTCTTACCGTTGCTAAGCCAACATCTAATTGCAATTTTCATAAAGTTAACTCAAAAATCTAAATAAGCTGATGACTAAGAGCGAGGGAAAAGACTTGTTTGAATGTTGCAAGGGGAAAAGAAAAGGGTGCTCGTTGGGTGTCTCTCTGGAAATCTCTTCAATCCGATGCCATCCTCCTTTTCCATTTCAATCTTTTCTTTTCTTTTCTTCTCATTCTCAATCCTTTTCTCTCACACTTTTCTGTTATTGGGCGTTGTTTGGTGAATGACTGGGGATGGCTCTTTTTTTTTTTATTTCAAGGTTTCCACCTTTTCTCGCACCCATCTCAATTCCAAATCCTATTTGACCACCAATTTTTCCGTTTTCACTTCTCAAAACAGTGATTTCATTTAAATTTTTTTCATCCTTACCTCTTGAACTAACAAAAAAGTTATTCTTTTTATTGCTTTAAACAAATACAGTTTTCTTATCTAGGATACTTGTTTACGTTGTCTATTAGTAATGATCATTTCAGTATACTTTATTAACTAACAAGTCTCTAAAATTCCCAAATTTTGATGCTCTAATCTTAGTCCAGATTTGCTAATCATTCCTAAACGTTTCAACAACTTAAACTTAGAATAAATAAATGAAATTCAGGCGTGATGGATGGGGGTAATGGGAGACGATCAGTGGAACAATTCGAGATTATTGAACATCAAGTCACTGAGGAGAGAAGACCTGCAGGTTGGGGGGAAAGGTTTTGAGCTAGAGTTTTGAGCTAGAGTTTTGAGCTAGCCTTTTTTTTTCTGGGGCTTTTTGAGCTGTTTTTTGCTATGGGTTTTTGGGCTGGGGCTTTGAGCTAGGGCTTTGAGCTAATGTTTTAAATTGAAAAACATTTCTTGTATCTTTTCAAAAGTCTTATAAATCTTTCAAGAAATTACAGAAAGTTGCTAGGTTTATTTTCAACGGGTGAAACTCGATTTTATTTACAACTTTGTTTTCGCATGACTTTTGAAGAGGGGTTGAGTTGATCGATTGAACGGAAAAGTGAATAGGGGAAAGGGGAGAACCAGTTGCGCGTCCCTTCACCCATTTCCCCCGTTTTGCTTCAACAATGATGCAAATTTTAACCCAATCCACTAAACGCGTGTAATCGAAATAAGTGCTTAAAGTCAAAAGCTTGTTTATCTGTACAGAAATTTGATTAGCTTAAATCTTTGGCATCAAATTCCATTGGATTCAGTTATTTTCTAGTTAACAGCGTAAGGATAAATAATCATTAAGCGAATACTTAACTAAACTAAGTTAACAGTAAGTTATCATTAAGCAAATACTTAACTAAAGTAAACTAAATCTAAGCCTAAGTAATTACTAGTAATTACTTAACAAAACTAAATCTAAGTACTTAATAGTAATTACTTAACAAAATCTAAGTACTTAATAGTAAATATTTAACAAAATCAAAAAGCTAAATCGATTTCAGGATCAGCTGTTCCCTTTACGTCAATTCGAAAAACCACCGAATCTTTTGAGAGACAAGGCGATGAAATTCTCAATCGACGGTAAAAGCAAAGATTTTTTTTCAATAATATTATTCTATTTTTAGATATGAAATCACAGAAGAGCGAGATATTCCTGGAAGGTTGGTGGCAAAAATTGACGTTATTTTAAAAAAAAATACCGACTGGGGCTACCAGTGGTGAATTTATCGCATACACGAGATATATCAATCACAATACAACGACACACACAATACTAGGCTATATCTTAACTTAACCCACGTCATGACAGACGGCTCCCTAACCCTAAGCTCAATGGGGAACTAAATAGCTTTTTTGGTGGTGAAGGGAAGATGACGATGAAGGAGTGGCTTGTCACTCTAAAGAACTGGGGCCACAACCACCAGACTGCCCTCCAGAAAACCTCTCAACCCGAAGGGAAAGGAAATCCAAAGGGGGTGACCATGTCGCATGTGGGGTTCGAACCCTCGACCTTCCGATTAAGATAAAAGACACTTAACCAGTCAGCCACACGCTTTTTTCCCGTCACTATACCCGAATTTTTGCGACAATTTCCTGCCTCAATTCAAGCTATTTTTAAAAAAAAAAAAAAAAAAACACCGACTGGGGCTACCAGTGGTGAATTTATCGCATACACGAAATATATCAATCACAATACAACGACACACACAATACTAGGCTATATCTTAACTTAGCCCACGTCATGACAGACGGCTCCCTAACCCTAAGCTCAATGGGGAACTAAATAGCTTTTTTGGTGGTGAAGGGAAGATGACGATGAAGGAGTGGCTTGTCACTTTATTTACAAAGAAAAAGCTTTTCTACATATTCTTTTTTCTTTTAAAAGAAAAAAGAATATGTAGAAAATTTTCTTTTTTTTCTTGAACGAAAAGAAATTCTTTGCCAGAAAATCAATTTTCTGTTCTAGAAAAAGAAGACAAAAAAAACAAGGTTTCAAAAAAAAAAAGATTATTCGACCTTGAATTCGATTTAATTAGATCGTATTTTTCGATCGTTTTATCAATGTTATTTCATTTCTAGAGTAATCAAACATCCTGGATCTATTGGGGATATCGTTTAAAAGTTTTAACCAATCATTTTTCATTTTTTTTTTGTTTATCTAGTTAAAGTATAACTGTTGCAGTGCCGAAAATGAGGCCAGCGGTGAAATACGAAGTGAAAACTTGAAAACTGTTCAAAATACTTTAAAAAAATTAGTAAAAAGATTAAGGTGAACCCAAAGAAAAAGTCGACTAGAAATAGGGTAAAATAGGTTCCATTTGGTCAAATTGCCAAACTTTATTACAGAATGGTGAAAAAGAAAAAGAAAAAGTCCGACACTTTACAAAAGAAGCTCGATTTTTCAGCTAAAAGCCAGATGGAAATTTGATTTACTATTTAGTAATTTGAAAGTTGAAATTCTGGAAAGCATTTCTACACCTAAACCAAAGCTTTTGATCAAACTAGCTTTCAAGAAAATATTCAATATTCAATAAAATGAATAGCTCCGATAGGTTCCGAAAACCCCCAGGCACAAATTTACAGCTAAATGATTGTCTCTGCATTCCCTTGTAGCTGTCTTTACGAACGAACGATCTAAAAAGAAATTTAAATATTAGAAATAGAAGAGGCTACAATTTTTTTGACACCTTATCGGAGCCTCGAGAACTGTCTCACTGTCACTGAATGACATTTCAGCACGAGGGATTGTCTGGTGTAACATTTCGAGGAATATTTCGGGATTTTAAGGAAAATTTGTAATACGAGTATGGATCAATGCAGTATTGTGGAGAAAAAGGGGAAAAGGTGTCACATTTGTTTAAAAGAGAAGAGGAAAACCATACGGGCGACACTTTTTTGTTTACGATATTTGCTCTAGCAGTCTTGAGAGCCCGAGACCGAGATCGAGATTTATAAGTGGATGGGGAGCTCGACGATGGGGCTAGTAAATGGTTTAAACAATCTAATCTAGAAGTTTAAACCAAATAAAACCTAGTTCTAATTGTTAGATTCAATAAAATGATAGATTCGATAGATTCCCCGTCCCCGAAAGCCCCCGGGCACAAATTTACAACTAAATATCTTCTTTTTGTAAAATCTACAAGCAAAAGAGAAATACTGAAATGATTGGCGAGGTGTTCTTTGTGCACAATCGCTCACCATCTGGCATACCAACTAGCTTTTATAAAGAAGAATTGTAGCTTTTATTTGGAAAATCAATCATTTACAATCACAATCATTAGCTTTTTGAATCACAGAAATGGCAATTGTTTTTAAAGGTTTTATTTAGATTCGATCAAACTGGCGAACGGGATATGAGCAGAGAGCCCTCATTCCTCCACACTTCAGCAAGTTTGTTTGAAAATATCAAAATCATCATTCTATCAAAAATCATCTTTTCACAGATTACGGTCAACAAATCGAATTCTCTCCACAAAGACATCAACTCTCATCATCGTCAGCCATAAACAATTACGGTTATGATATTCATGAAGTGCATACGTCGGGTGAGCTTTTCTATTGATTATTTCAATTTTTTTTTTCTGAATTCAGAAGGAGGCGCTCGAATTGTGGAGACACACGGCGGAGGCCCGTTACAGCAAGAGACACCGACGAGTAGACCCGGCATATCATCTGCCTTAAGGTACGACAAATTTGGATTGTGCTCTGCAAAGAAATGCAATTCTTAGATCTGGCTCGTCACTGAGATCAAGCGGTGGTGTGTTCACTGTGCCTTCTCCACCATTGGCAAAAGATGAATCGTGGAGACATGATACAAGCACGGAACATGAGTGAGAATTTCAACGATTTAAAATCAAAGCAACGAGCTTGAAATTGTACCAAAAATAGTAAAAAAATGAAACAAAAAACAATTGCCTTCAAGAGTTTGCTTAGAAAAAATGCTTTAGTTATATGCTAGTCTTTGCAAGCAAGAAATCAAAAAGCTACTCTTTGAGAAGATGTGAAATTCCTGGCAAAAATTTCTAGAAAAAATCCCTCTCAAAACTTCCCGCATGGTCGTGAAAAAATATCGCTGGGGAACCCCCTTATGCCAGGGCTATATGCCAGATAGTGAGCGATTGTGCGGCTGCACAAAGAACACCTCGCCAATCATTTCAGTATTTCTCTTTTGCTTGTAGATTTTACAAAAAGAAGATATTTAGTTGTAAATTTGTACCCGGGGGCTTTCGGGGACGGGGAATCTATCGAATCTACCATTTTATTGAATCTAACAATTAGAACTAGGTTTTATTTGGTTTAAACTTCTAGATTAGATTGTTTAAACCATTTACTAGCCCCATCGTCGAGCTCCCCATCCACTTATAAATCTCGATCTCGGTCTCGGGCTCTCAAGACTGCTAGAGCAAATATCGTAAACAAAAAAGTGTCGCCCGTATGGTTTTCCTCTTCTCTTTTAAACAAATGTGACACCTTTTCCCCTTTTTCTCCACAATACTGCATTGATCCATACTCGTATTACAAATTTTCCTTAAAATCCCGAAATATTCCTCGAAATGTTACACCAGACAATCCCTCGTGCTGAAATGTCATTCAGTGACAGTGAGACAGTTCTCGAGGCTCCGATAAGGTGTCAAAAAATTGTAGCCTCTTCTATTTCTAATATTTAAATTTCTTTTTAGATCATTCGTTCGTAAAGACAGCTACAAGCGAATGCAACAATCACAGGTTTTTTTTAAATTTTATGAAATTTGCAAAATGGTTTCAGGAGGTGATCGGTTCAAATGGGACAGTGGCTGGACCGGCTGAAAGTAGTAGAGTTTATGCGGTAAGTGTTATAGATAGAAAAGCTTTTATTTACTAATAGAAGATTAGAATATATATACTTAGAAATATTCTAGCCTCGATCCCAGTCAACATTGATGTCGAATTCATCGAGAGCACGAAGAGACACTGGAGAGGTGAAATGGATCGGAAGTAAATATCGAAAGTATCCTAAAAGTTTAGGGATGTTGGTCAAAGATGAAGAATTTCTTCAGCGATCTTTACTGGGCTATCAAGTACTGAGATTTCATTTACCGTATTTTCTCTAATAGTAGTGCACCCCGGCGAGCCGAGTTGGTGACGATTTTACCGTTTCCAAGCTTTTGCAGAAGCCCAACACTCAAATCCCCCACTAGATCTCATCGTCAGCTACATTTTCCAACACCACATCAATAGGTTCTGATAAGCGGTTCTCGAGATTTCGAGGAATTTAGGCGACGCTCAGGGTGCACTACTATTAGAGAAAATACGGTATCTTACATTTGAATCTATTTATGCTTAAAAGCTTAAAAGAGAAGGACTAAATAATGGCACCAATGAGAAAAGTGAACTTTTGGTGATAAATCTAATGAAAATCTGATGCCGATTCAAGCTTACAAGCGGCAAATTGAAAACCGTATTCTCTCTAATAGTAGTGCACCCCGGTGAGTCGAGTTGGTGACGATTTTACGGTTTCCAAGTTTTCCAGAGCTCAACCCCCACCCCCCCCCGATCTCACCAGCTACTTTCCGGCCCCCATCAATAGGTTCTGATAAGCGGTTCTCGAGATTTCGAGGAATTTAGGCGACGCTCAGGGTGCACTACTATTAGAGAGAATAATTTCATTTCATTTCTTTCATTTCTTTCAATTTCTTAAGTAAAATTTAATAAATGAAAGAAATGAAATAAATCTGAAATTTAAATAAACTTATCTTTTTTTTCCTTTTAGAAGAGAACAACACTCGCCCCGACTTTGGGCAAATGTTTGCTGTATTTTGTTGATGTTGCTCTTGCTCTTGATTTTATTCATTGTCTTTCTCACAGCACTTTTCCATCGATATTCAGTGAGTTTTAAAAATTGAGCCTATCATAAAATATCCTTTTTTCAGGTACGAGAGTTTTTGTTATATCCACCAGTTTGCGAGGAATGTAGAAGAAAGAATCCGAGTCTAGCCTCGGCTCAAATGCCTTCGTCTGGTTAGTTTTAATTTTAAAAAAATGATAAAAAGCTTAAAGATGATGAATATATAGAAATATTAGAATATTTGTTTAGTATATGTTCACCACTATTCATCTGAACAAGCTCACTTTGAAATGAGAGGAAATCTCCCATTCAGAAGTAACTCTTTCACTGCGATCGACTTTTCAACGGTAAGTTTTTGGGAGTGGGACAAATGCGACCTTTTTTTACGCACCTGGACATTTGCGCACCTTTTTTTCTGCACCTTGCCCATTTGCGCACCTTTTTTCGCGTTTTAAAAAGCTAATATTAACCAATTTTTATTCCAAAAGTTGTTTTTCTAGGTAATTTTAGGGCGTAGAATCGAAATTTTGACATATCAGAGCTTGTGGAAACAAACGGACGGAGTTATACAAAGAGAAAAATCGACAATTTTCTGTAATTTGATCTAGCCGTTTTGTCTTTTAAATTGGTTCCACACGCTCTGTTATGTCAAAATTTCGATTCTACGCCCTAAAATTACCTAGAAAGACAACTTTTGGAATAGAAATTGGTTAATATTAGCTTTTCAGAGCTTTTTTAAAACGCGAAAAAAGGTGCGCTAATGGGCAAGGTGCGGAAAAAAAGGTGCGCAAATGTCCGGGTGCGCAAAAAAAAGGTCGCATTTGTCCCACTCCCAAGTTTTTCGATGCTCATCATGTAAAGAATCCTTAAACGCTTTTTAAGCCCGCTGGACAACCTCCCATGTGGTCTAGTGGTTAGGGTTCGTGGCTTTCACCCACGCGGCCCGGGTTCGATTCCCGGCATGGGAAAAAAGTTTTCGATTTCTTGATTTTTAAATCAAATTCGATTTTTTGATAAAATCTTGTTTGAAATGTAAAAAAAAAAAATTTATAAAGCTTTTAAAAATGATTTTTAGTGAAGGAGAATCTTTTCAGGGTTATGTGGCAATCGCAGATCATGCACTGACTGACTCAACTGGAAAGCATTTCTCGTGTTTCCTTCTACCTCTTGATAGGTGATTTTTGTTTGAAAGTTTTAAATCACCAATCTCCACATGAGCGATGAAAGTATTGAAATAATGATTTTCATTTTCAGAACGGCTCTCCCTAGCATGGATAGCCTGATGGAGGCTTTGGATGAGTCCGATTACGAGGTTAAACAATTGACAATTTAATTATAAAGCTTACTCTCTCTCTCAAGATAGGGTCACTTTCAGCCACCTAAACATGGTCCCATGTGGTCTAGTGGTTAGGATTCGTGGCTTTCACCCACGCGGCCCGGGTTCGATTCCCGGCATCGGAAGGAATTTTTGCGATTTTTGCAAATTTGAACAAAAAGATTTCAGATTCAATCAAATTTCGGCTGGCAAGAGTATTGGCAATTCGAGCCAGAGCAAATCGATTACAATATGGTTCGCAGCAAGTTCACCGATCCGATAAAAGTGCGGTTTGCGAGTATTCTGGAGAGAGTTGAATATCTTTTTCTTCTAAACAAAATGATCACAAAAAAACTTGAATTTCCAGGATTGCGAAAGTGGGAAATGGTATCTCCTGAAGCAAACCGTGCATCCAAGAGGTAAGAGGAGTTCTTTATAGTTAATTAACGGTAAACAATCATCACTTATACATTAAATAGTTCTAAAATCATTTAGGATATCAGCATTGGAGCTATTAGCTATTTTATAGAGTCTAACAATTCGATAGAGTCTAACAATTCGATAGAGTTTAATTGGTCCTCCTCCACATCTCATACTTGCAAATTTTCAGATGGCTCTTGCTCAGATTGTTATGATTTTTGTTTACCCGATTACGCAGTGGTACGAAAAGTGAAATATGAAGGTGATGAGAGAAAGCGAATTCAAAAGAAAAACCAAAACCAAAGAAATTTCAGATGAATCAACGTTAGGCATTCGACGATTGAATTGTTTCCGTCTCTACGTGCCCGAATGGGGTTCTCATTCTCCACAGGTAACCCATAAAACGCTTTCTCTTTTCATTTAAACTCATATTTTTTTGAATGAAAAACATTTCAAGCTTAATAATATGTGGCAATTCTTATGCTTGTGCTGCTGATGTGCTTATCAGTTTTGGGAGAGTTTATTGGGGCTCTCTTTCAAAATGTTTATTGCTCAGCAAATTGGGGAAAACAATTTTTGTTTTGTTTTTCAGTGAATTTCGAGAAAAAATGTATATGGAGTGAATGGGATTTTTAAGGGAAATTGAGAAATGAATGGAATTATTGAATTTAGAATCGAAAAAAGTGTACTCAAGAAACGTAGAAAAATAGAGAGCATAAAAAGTGTTTATCACAAAAAAAAACCCGTTTTTAAAAATGTGTCGCTTCGAAAACGAATCTTGCCTAGTTTTAACAAATCTGTCTACTTTTAGTATCACTCATAAAGAATCAAACCAAAATGATCAATTGGAGATTACGAAGATTGTAAAGCAAAGCAAAGAAAAGCAAGAAAGCATTAGAAAGCAAAGAAAGACAAGATTATAATAGTTTTCCCCAAAAGCTAACACTTTTAGAAGAAAGAAATTGACAACTTTGGAAAACAATAGAAAGAAAGCAAGATAATTTAGATTTAGAGCAAGATAATGATAAATCTGTTTTTAAAATGTGTCGCTTCGAAAACGAATCTTGCCTAGTTTTAACAAATCTGTCTACTTTTAGTATCTTTCATAAAGAATCAAATTAAAGTTATCAATTGGAGATTACGAAGATTGCAAAGCAAAGCAAAGAAAAGCAAGAAAGCATTAGAAAGCAAAGAAAGACAAGATTATAATAGTTTTCCCCAAAAGCTAACACTTTTAGGAGAAAGAAATTGTCAACTTTGGACAATAATAGAAAGAAAGCAAAATAATGATAAATCTGTTTTTTTAAATGTGTCAAGTTTCGAAAACGATTATAATCTTGCCTAGTTTTAACAAATCTGTCTACTTTTAGTATCTTTCATAAAGAATCAAACCAAAATGATCAATTGGAGATTACGAGGATTGAATTAGAAAGCAATTGAAGACAAGATTATAATAGTTTTCCTCAAAAGCTGACACGGAAAAAGAAAGTGTCACCTTTGGACAACAATAGAAAGAAAGGAAAATAATTTTGCATGTAAATAAGCTGAAAAATTCAGACAGACGCTTGGGGTGGTCATTGGCAGTATCCACTTCAATCAACAAACACAAGAAGAGATTCGGATTTCGAGTGGCAAAGTTGGACCCCAATTGCCGGCAATCGAATTCGACAAACGAGGAGTCGAATCGACAAAGAAAAATGAAATTTCTTTTTTTATTATATTTCTTCAAAACTTTGTCGTTTTCATTTATATTTCTTTTCTTTCTTTTTTCAGAAAAAAACTTTTGATCTTCAATCATTTGATTTAGAGAATTGAGCTCATCAAAATCATTTGATTTAGAGAATTGAACTCATCAAAATCATTTGATTTACAGAATTGAGCTCATCAAAATCATTTGATTTACCGAATCATTCCTTTCGCACTAAGCATTGCCTTCAAGCTCTTATCCGGTAAAATATTTACAAAAAAAAAAAATTACTTTTCCCTTTCATTTGAATGACTAATGTATACTGCCAAACAATTTTTTTTCCTTTTCTTTCTTTTTTTTTGCTCATTTTCAAGTGACTTTCGTTATCTTGTGCATAAAGAGTTCTCAAAAAAGCAAAGACGCTTTCAAAATGACTGTGACTTGCATTGGTGATAATGGTTTCCTTTTTAAGGTTTGTTTTCGCCTAAGTTTGAAAATATTATATTAGAAAATTTTTTAGTAATATTTTTATGAAAATTATGATTGAATTTTATAGAGAAAAAATGGTTTAAAAACAAAAAACTAAAAGTGATCTTTGAATTTTCTTTTTTCATTACCGATTTTTTTGCTTTTTTTTTTTTTCATTTCAACAATTCCAAATTCTTAATAGATTTTGAATTTATTTCCTTACCTTTCAGCTTTTCTTATTTCCCTTTTCAATCTGTTTACAGAGTAATGGAGAATTGCGAAATTAGTGATGATGCTAGTGAAAGTGATTTGGTGATCTGTCTTCCTTCATGGCAACGAACATCCAACGATCCGATGCTTTCCGGGAATAATGGATCATTTGATGTCGAATTCTCCGATTTTAACACTACATTTCTGCAAGCATCACCCTCAATTCCTTCCTATCAAATCTATCTATCTTCAACTTCCGAAATCGATCAATCATCGTTTAATAGTGAAACTTATGAAGACTTATCGAATTCAACTTCTTCTATTGAAATGTTCGTTTTAAGATCTTCTCTAACTTCTCTAAGATCTTCTCTAACTTCTCTAAGATCTTCGCTAACTTCTCTAAGATCTTCTCTAAGATCTTCTCTAACTTCTCTAAGATCTTCTCTAACTTCTCTAAGATCTTCTCTAACTTCTCTAAGATCTTCTCTAACTTCTCTAAGATCTTCTCTAACTACTCTAAGGTCTTCTCTAACATCTACCTTTTTAGGAATGATGAAGAAAAATGGCAGTACCCAGCACCACCGGATGGCTTGGGGAAACGAGCGAATGGAGCCGGCTGCCCACCGAAACACAACATCGACTTTGCGAAACTCGATGAGAAACAATTAGGCATTTGTGAGAAGATTTGGGTAAAAAAACGAGCTACTTTACAAGAAAAGCACCAAATTTTAAGGCTAAATCCCGTAAAACCTATGAGAAACTAGCGAAAAACGAGCGATATGGAGTGATGAGCCGACAAACGGTTGACTTTATTTGGAAAAAGTGGGAGTACATCTTGAAAAGACTCCGCAATCAGAAATCGGTCAAGAAATCCAGAGATCGATCACAGAAAGAACTCGCTGAAGCCGTGTAAGTTTGATCACTCGCTTGGCATAGGCCCACTTCCAGTTGCGCAGACAGCGGCGGGTGTGGCTTAGTGCTTAGTGCTTGTGGCTCTCGCCCACACGACCCGGGTTCGAGTCCCGGCATGAACGCCAGGCTTCAACTTTTGCTTTTCTTTAATTACTTTTCTAATTTCAGGAATTCTTTCGAGAAAATGATTTCCATTATCGAGAAAGCTGACAAATCAAACTCATTAAGAATACAACTCGAAGCGGAACTTGGGTCTTTTTATCAACAAAAACAGACTCATCTCCTTGAAACGGTATTGAATATTGATTTTAAAAGCGACCAAAGTAAATTCTAGTTTCAAAAAGCCATTGGCGCAGAGGAAATCTCGATAATTCCTCCAAAATCGCGAAAACCTCGAGGAAAAAAGCGATGACTTGTTACCGTTGTTAAGGAAAAAAGCAAAAAAAGAAGCGATGTTTATAGTTTGTTTATAGTTGTAAATAAATGATTTTTGAAAAAAAACACTATGATCAGAAAAAGAGAGAGAGAGAGAGAGAGAGAGAGAGCTGGGCTCGTTCATCGTAACGACAATTTCGTTTCTCTTTTCGTTGATAGGGCCGAGAATTGGTCATTGAAATAAAGTGGACGTATGGTATGGGACAGGAAGGGAGGAAGAAAAAGAAAAAGAAATGGATTCGTGGTGAACCTTCACTCTTTTTCCTCCTCCTTGATTCATTCATTTCATTTTGATTCCCTTTAGTTCTTCAAATCTTTATTTTAACAGACTTCAAATTCGATTTTATTTTATTCGATTGCCTTGCTTTTGCCGATTGCCTTGATTGCCTTGCCTTGCCTTTCGATTGCTTTAAACCCTTAAACAAAGTTTCTTTTATACTTTTAATATCCGATTACCTTGCCTTTCGATTGCCTTACTCTTCGTTTTAAACCATTAAACAAATATTCTTTTATACTTTCATACATTGATCGACATTGCAATTAATTAAAATTTTAATTTCAATTTCTAATTTCAAGCATATATTTTTTTGAGAAATCATTTTATCAACAAAAGTAATAGGGTATCTATTGAATCTTTTAATGAATACGATAAAAGTACAATAGTACAATTCATTAAAAGTACAATAGTACAATTCATTAAAAGTACAATAGTACAATTCATTAAAAGTACAATAGTACAATTCATTAAAAGATCCAATTGATATATTGGATCCAAATTGGATCCAAATTAAATACAATAACAAATCCATCACCTTGAACAGTTTTCATCTAAAATCTTACCTTCTATATAAAATTTTCTTTCATAAGAAACAAATTTGATGCACAGTTTTCCTCTTTAAGCCCACCCACGATGGGGATAACCGAGAGGAAGTCGATTCAAGTGTTGGAGACGGGGAGAGTAAACGATATCACCCCTACTCTCCCTCGAAATACACCCCCGACTTGCTCCAAAACGCAATCACTATTTATGGGCTTTTGAAACGATGTTTCGTAGCGGAGAATTCAATTATCGGCTCTTGAATACGGTAGTTTTGCTAGCTAAACCACCACTCTTTTTACAGCTACCGTCACCCAGAAAAAAAAGCTCTCGTTACTCACTCCTTTTTACAAAAAGATCACGCTTAGAATAGCTTGAATCCCTGACTCATTAGGTTTTTGTTTTAAAAATTAAACGTATTTCAAGAACTAGATAACGAAATTTGTTACCCGTAAGCAGTAGGTAACAAAATTGAATACCGTAGATAAGTACCCGTAACCATTTTTACAATCCAAACAACTCATTCATCCAATTCCAAGCAACAATCGATATTTGGGGATGGGAATCGATTGGGGATTCGATGGGGATTCGATTTGAATTCCTCTGAATGTGCATGGATCGATGAATGGAAAGAGAGAGAGAGAGAGAGAAAGAGATAGAGAAATCGCTGGAGATTCACCAATCCCTCAGCCGACCCTCGATTTCCCCTCCTATCCACCCTCCGTCCCATCCCATTAGTTTTAATGTGGCGCGCTCGGATCGGAACCCGTGCGGGCATATGCACACAGACACAGACACATGCACACGCTTCTTTCTCACAAATCCCCATTTCTTCCTATCGCCGGGCATTTTTGGGGGTACAGTCGCGTAGTCGTTAATTCTTTCACTGATAAGTGTTGTGTTGAAATTGAAAAATATTGAAAGATATTGAAAGATATAGAAAGATATAGAAAGATAGAGATAAACTCAGCTATTCTCGTCATTCAAAAGCCCTAAATCTCCTCTTAAAAACTAGTATAAGAGCTTTCTGCTTAGCAAAGAGCTTTCTGCAAAATAATTGTTATTTATAAAAGTTCTTAAAAACGAGTTGACATCAAAAATAATTGTTTCACTTTTTTTCGATCGCAGAAATCGATAATCAATGCTTCGAGATGAGATTTCGAAATTTGAAGAGGATATTAAAATATTTGTATTATGGCTAATCAAAAATGGCTTTTCATATACATAAGATATCCATCTCCAGAAGACTTTTGGGTTATGGTAGGAATTGGATATGGGGAAGGGGGGTGAATGTGGCCCATAAATGCATCACGAATGCATCTGATGTGCCGATTTGCACCCGCACACAGACACAAATCCGAGAATCACCCCTAAGGGAAAATGTGGGAACCACGAGAGGGTATTCGCATTGAAATTCTCACTATTAATCGTAGATCAGAGAGCCTGCAGGAAAGAGATAACAAGTTGCTTTTGAAAATACTGGAAAATTCAATCGCTTCTCTACAGTATGCTAAACTGAATAGCTAATCTTCATTGAAGATTCTAACCTGTTTCGTGTGATTTTGCTTCATCTGTTGCGGAGAAAACGTTTAACTAGGGATGGTGACAGTAGTCGGATTTTTAAAAATCTTATGCTTTTAATATCAAATATCAATTCTAGTCGATCCAGGATAGTTCCTAGTTGATCTTTCTAGTTGATCTATGAGTTTAAAAGTTTTTTTTAAAAATCCAAAACTATTCGCTCCTGGGTGGGTTCGAACCACCGACCTTTCGGTTAACAGCCGAACGCGCTGCCGATTGCGCCACAAGAGCAGCCGCGTCGGTCAAGAATTTAACCGGTCAAATAGGCCAGGGTTATCAAAAGTTGTATAGTTATCAAAAACGGCATACTTTTTTTGATAGCTATACAAGCGCCCTCTTCTATTTCACCATTTAAATCCTGACACCGGACCACCTGCTCTTTGTGGCGCAATCGGCAGCGCGTTCGGCTGTTAACCGAAAGGTCGGTGGTTCGAACCCACCCAGGAGCGAAACTTTTTGGAACTCTTTTGTAGCTCTTGTGGTTGACTAGATAGTTAACTAAATAGGATAAGAGGACAGGAGAGAGAGTCCCACCGTACTCAGAAGATCAATGTTTCCAGAAAAGAAAGAAGCAGAGAAAGAAAGAGGGGTGAATCTCTCTGAAAAGTCCGAATCCCTCAAAAAGTGTGTCAAATGGGGTACTTGAGTGAGCTGACTGTTTTTGTTCATTTTTTTCCTCGTTTTTTTCGAGTCAGTGGCATTCGACTCGAAAAAAAAGCCTCCTTTTTTTGAGTCATTCCAGAGCCTCCTTCGATTCCAGATCCCATAGACCACCCCAAACTATTATCGACAAAAAGGGGGACTTCAAAGGGTCGTGCCGACATCTTTCCAATCTTTACCGTTGATTTCAATTCAAATTTTCGAAACAATTCAGCTGAGCTTTTATTAGTGAAAGTTTTTTATTTTATTTTTTAAAACTTTGTTTAAAAAAGAGACAAAAATCTAAACCTTTTTCACTGAAAAAGTCATATTTTGTAAAGATTTTAAAAAAAACTTTCTCTAAATTTTCTCTAAATTCTTTAAAATCTCTGAAAATCCTTCAAAATTCATTTATTGACATTATTTATTGACATGATCAAGAAAATCGTTAAAATGAACAAACAATCAATTGGGAAAAGATTGTAAAAACGTAAAAATCAATACTTTTTTCATCAAAGCAACCGTAAACCAAAAAAAAAAACAGGAGAAATGAAAAAATTTCGCGAAGAATGGGATTTTGCATAGAAAAATTGGACAGAAATCGATTCAGAAAACTGGAAATGATCATTTTTCAAGTCAAATCATAACTAAACATTTATCTTTTACGAAAAAAATGATCACTTATCAGAAAAAGTAAAAAAAAAAATCATCGCTTAACCCGTTGAATCTTGGAAGTTTTAAGTGTATAAAAGAAAAAAGGAAGAAAGGAAGAAAGGGAGAAAGGGAGAAAGGAAGAAAGGGAGAAAGGAAGAAAGGAAGAAAGAAAGAAAATCTACAGTAAACCTCTCCAAGAATCGAGCCAGATGTAAGAAATTTGCATATCCCGGCTGAAATTCGAATGAATTGGATCGAAAAATGGAGAGAAATTGATCAATTTTGTATTATGATTGAAAAGAAAATGCCTTTTTATATAAAAAAAATGCTTTTTTATATAAAAAATAAAGAATTTTACATGATATGCACTTGTGAAATTGCAAAGATTAAAGAGTTCTTTCGTTTTTGCGAAAGAAATTCAAAAATAGAAAAATATTTCTTCTTTTTTTGTAAATTCTTTTCCAAAAACGTTTAAACTTCTCAAGAGAAATTTGATAGACTAACAGAAAAAGAGGAAATGATAAATGAATAAAGAAAAATCTCTCATCAAACATTTCGAAAAGCCTATAAAAAGCTCTACAAATAATAGGAATTCAGAAAACAAAAAAAATGATTTACCGTATTTTCTCTAATAGTAGTGCACCCTGGCAAGCCGAGTTGGCGACGATTTTACGGTTTCCAAGCTTTTGCAGAAGCTCAACACTCAAATCATCGTCAAGATCTCATCGTCAGCTACATTTTCCGACCCCACATCAATTGGTTCTGACAAGCGGTTCTCGAGATTTCGAGCAATTTAGGCGACGCTCAGGATGCACTACTATTAGAGAGAATTGCGGTAATTTGGTCAAATATAACTTTCACGTCATATACCGTATTCTCTCTAATAGTAGTGCACCCTGGCAAGCCGAGTTGGTGACGATTTTACGGTTTCCAAGCTTTTGCAGAAGCTTGACACTCAAATCATCGTCAAGATCTCATCGTCAGCTACATCTTCCGACCCCATATCGATAGGTTCTGATAAGTTCTGATAAGTTCTCGAGATTTCGAGCAATTTAGGCGACGCTCACGGTGCACTTACTATTAGAGAAAATACGGTATGCAAAAATGAGAAACCACACACAAAAATCAAACCCTCCTATCGATGAGCAGACAAATTTTTTTCTTTTCTTTGACTAATTGAAAATCTTCTGGTTGAAGAGAAAGTTTTCATTTTTCACAATCGAAATCATTTACAAGTGATTTATCTAAAAGTTTATGATAAAGGTAAAGATTTTTTTTTTGTAGTTTACCGGATAGCCAGGATGACCATAGCCGGGCGGTGGAACCATTTGACCCCAAGGTGATGGAGCAGCACCTGGCCCTAATGGGAAACACCTGAAATTGTGAGAAATTTTCGATAATCATAATGAAATATAATATCGATTTGATTTGTTTTCTAAAAAGCTAACAGAATTTAGAAAGGTTTTTTTTGGAGGGAAATTTGATTTGAATGAGCTGTGGAGTCGAATGAGTTTGTGAAGTGATTCGTTTCTTCTCAAGTGAAACTTAAGTAAAACTAGCGATTCGTTTCTTTCAAAAAATTCAAAAAAAGATTCAAAGCCGAAAGCCGAAAGCCTCTAAAACCAAAAAAATGTTTAAAATTGATGAGTTTCTTCTTAAAATTCATCAAATTCATCAATTTCTTCTTAAAATTCAAAAAAGATCCCTCTAAAGAAGGAAAATATTAAAAAATCTTCAAATTCATCATTTAAAAGCTCATTGAGTTTAATTTTAAATCCTTTATCTTTATCTATAATCATTTATCTTATTCGAATTTTAAACACAATTCTTTATCAATAGGAAAAGTTTAATATTAATATTTTAGCCAAAAACTCTAGCCATAGCACTTTTTCTCTTCTCCATTCGGATCGTGGGGTTTGGGAGGATTATTGGGCTCTAGCCTAGCTCTAGCCTAGCTCTAGCTCTAGCAAAAACTCTAGCCATACCACTTTTTCTCTTCTTCATTCGGATCGTCGGGTTTTGGGGGATTATTGGGCTCTAGCCTAGCTCTAGCCTAGCTCTAGCCTAGCTCTAGCTCTAGCAAAAACTCTAGCCATACCACTTTTTGTCTTCTTCATTCGGATCGTGGGGTTTTGGAGGATTATTGGGCAACAGGGGCACCGCTTCACCACCCTCCTCCAATCGATGTTTCTCCTTTTTTGCCTGCAAAACATTCTTTAGCCATTCATATTAGCCTTTCCAATCAAAATCATCAAAATCTTTTCCCCCACCTTCATCCTCCGATTTTGAAACCATATCTTGATTTGTCGATCGGTGAGATTCGTCTGCAGACGAAGCTCTTCACGTTGCTTTTTGCTTACATACGACGATTGTTGGAATTTACTTTCGAGCACTGATGTCTGATAGCGTTGATACGTTTGTCGACCTTTCTTTGTTTGAGCTAAATTAGAAATTTTGGAAATTCTGTGGCTAGCTAAACGCTTTCCTACCATAATTTGGCCAGTGTGGAGCAGCGTAATGTGCAGGCCAGGCACCGAAAGTGGCGGCTGGGTTGAGGGGCTGGAACTGGGAAGTGATGATAAAAGGTTTGCGATTTTGACCAAATACCTGTCCAAATTGGTGGTAATAGTTTGGCCAAGCACTATAGCCGGACATGTAAGCTCCATAGTTGAGCGCTTCAGCTGTAGGAGTCGACGTCTCTCCCTCCTCTTTTCCAACTCCCTAGTAATGTGAATTTTAAAGAAGAATCGATTCTTAGAATTGTGAAGTTCTTAGAATTGTGAAGTTCTTAGAATTGTGAAGTCTAGAGTTTTTTTAGTAAAAAAAGAGAAATCAATAGTCGGACAGCATGTCACTTTTCGTTTTCTTTTCTTTAAGAAAATTCTTTCTTCAAAAAAAAAGGGGCAATAAATGTAGATTAAAAATATTCTAGAATCAGAATCTTAAAGGATTTCAATTCAAAAGAGTAATTTCAATTCAAGAGTCATTTTAAACAATCAAACTAATGTTATACTAAAGAAGATTTAGTAGTAGCAATCTCTAAAATTGTCTTTCTATTTTCGTTTAACGATTCCCCGAAAACGCGACCAATAAATGGCAATAATTAGGCAATTTCGTGAAATGGTAATGGTGATGGAAAGATTAGAGTAGAAAAAGAAACCTGTGTCATAGCGGCTAAACGTTGCAAATGATCGGATCCAGTGGAAACGGACGAGCCGGCCGATGCCTCTGATGAGGCCACCGAAGCGGCTGAGGCTTGTGCGGCCGCTTGAGCAAAGTCGAATCCGAGAGGATTCATCATCGCCGCCGAATGGGCTAGGAATTGGCTGCCGGAGCGAATAAAAGTGATGGAATATGGGGCGGTGGTGGACGAAGAAGGGGGGGGGGAAGGGGGTGTGGCCGGGCACGGTAGTCGTCTCTTCGCGGGCACAACGTCTGAGCAGAGTGGAGTGGGCGGGGCGGGCGCCGATTCGTGCTTGGGACCTAGAGAGCAAGAGTGTGAGAAGTCTGGAAAAGTTTTCTCTTTTTTGCTTTTCTTTAAAACCCTATCAAATTAGACTAAATGGTATTGAGAGGTGAAGTCGGCAATTCTCGGGTTTTTATTATTGCTTTTTTTGAGATAAATTTGCTTGAGATGTTGCAATATTTTATAAGAAATTTATTAAGAATTCGTTATTTTAAAGTTATAGGTTAAAGAAAGCTTTGTTTAAAGCTTACTTTAAAGCTTTAAACGTTTCTTTAAAGCTTTAAACCTTTCTTTAAAGCTTTAAACCTTTCTTTAAAGCTTTAAAACTTTCCTTTAAAGCTCTAAAGCTTTCTTTAAAACTTTAAAGAAAAGCTCAGCTAGTTGACAGAAAGTTCTTGAAGTTCTTGAAGTTTTTAAAGTTCTTAAAGCTTTAGAAATGATTCAGAAAGATTTTTTAAACAATTTCTATACCATTTAGTCTATTTTTCTAGGTCCTAAAGAAGAAAAAAAGAGATAAAAACAAATATAATGAAATTAGAAAAAGAGAGATTGAAGAAAGAAAAAGCTGAAACTTGAAAGCCTAGTAGACAACTTGAAAAGTGAAATTTCTGTCTACTAGTTGTCTACTAGGCTTGAGAGCCTAGTAGACGAGTTGATGCTCATCTAGATGAGCATCTAAAAATTCAAGTTATCTACTAGGCTAAAGAAAATTCAATAAATCTAGAGAATCAATTTTTTCAAATTCAACAATAAATCTCTAGATTATAGTGAAGAATCAAAAAGCCAAATGTTTATTTGTCAAATCCTCAAAGCCAAATCTTTATTTGTCATTCACAACTTTTTCTCCAGGTACCGTTTCACGCCAAGCCACCCACCGCGTGTATTTGGCGATGAAGCTGTTTTGGCGAGAACCAAAAAAAGTCTTATGTCCACACAAAATCACAATTGACCGTAAAGAGCTTTGTGTTGGCTCTGTTCGTGGGTCGAGCTCTCTCTCTCTCTCTCTTTTTTCAATTTCTATGTGTGCCATTGAAATCGAAGCGATGAGAAGAAAAGAAGACGGAGAAGGGAAAGGAGGAAAGGAGGCACGAGCTGTGTGAAGGCAACCGAGCCTTCATCCATTCAACCGTCACTTTTTTCTCTTCCTCTTTTCTTAAACCAAAAAAAAAGATTTCTCTTTGTCGATATCTTGGTAAACAGTAAAAAGAACAAAAAAAAAAGATTTTCTTTACATTTGACTAATATTTTCAAATAGATTCTTATTCTTAGATTTGAATTTGTAAAAAAAAAAATATAATTGATATAAACTTGTTGATATTCAAATGTAAATCTAGATTTAGAAAGGGAATTTAAAAGTACCGTATTTCTTCGAATAGAAGACCGGGTAATGAGTATCAAAGAGGAACGGGTGGATGCGCTTTTGATGAAAGCTGGATTAGCCAAAGCCTCGGATCCATCCAAGGTGAAGATTTGTTGCAAAATGAAGAAAAAAAAGGAAATAGCTTTTAGCTTAAATAGCTTAAAACAAAGCCTTGAAAATTACCGTATTTCTTCGAATAGAAGACCGGGTAAAGAGTATCATCGCGTACTCCTGGGTAGCAGCCCTTTTTAAAATTTCTTTTCTGCATAAAAGCTTTCAATGAAGTGCTATAGGGCTGGAAAATGACTCAAAAATCTGTTAGCTCATGTGGTATTTTTGAGTCATTTTTCAGCTCTATAGCACTTGATTGAAAGCTTTTATGCAGAAAAGAAATTTTAAAAAGGGCTGCTACGCTGGAGTACGCGATGATACTCTTTACCCGGTCTTCTATTCGAAGAAATACGGTATTTCGATTATTAAATTGAAATAATTGAATTGAATTTTATTTTATTTAAGAAAAAAGAAATTATTAAAGATAATCTTAAGAAAAAAAGACTACTAAAAGGTTTTTAAACTTCTAAAATTTCCTTTTACTTGAATAAGATTACAGTAAACTTTCGAAACCTTAGAAAAACGAGTTTAAACAAGTTTAAAATCGAAACATATCGATTAGGTAAGCTTTTAAATTGTATAAAAGATTGAGGAGGAAAAAAAAAAAGAAAAGGAGGCGGGGAACGGGGATGAAGGCGCCAGTATGTCGGTCGTCGCCTGAGCACTTCCGACTCTCTTCTTTCCTATGGTGGCCGGTCCCTGGTGGCTTCCGTGTCCCCTAACTCCTCGGACCCATTAGCCGCACGTCGAACATGCATTTTTCTATCCAATTCTTCCAATTCTTCCTTTTTCCTTATTCTTTTAGCTCTGAGATCTTTCCCCATCTAACGCTTCTCTCAAAAGACTTAAAAATTTAACTAAACTTTAGATTTTCTTTCTTAAAAAGACTTTAGATTTAGATTTTCTTTCTTAAAAATAAGACGAATAAAAAGAAAAATAAAAGAAAAGAAAAAGAAAAGAAAAGAAAAGAAAAGAAATAGAAAAAGAAAAATAAAAGAAAAAGAAAATAAAAAGAAAATAAAAAGAAAAATAAAAATACGTTCTTTCTCAGGAAATCTTTTTACATCAATTTTTTTTTATCTTGTGTGAATCATTTTCTTAAATGTACGCGTCAGTATCATGATAATTAAGAGCTCATCGTTACTGTATGAGCAAAAAAAAGGGGGGAAGGTCAAGCTTGGGAAAATAAGAAAGAGTCGCGGTAGAGATGAAAAGGAAAATGGGGATCGAGATCCATTCTCTTTTTTTTTTGCCTCTCCGGGAAAGCAGTTGTAAAATGAGGTTTTTTTTTCTCTTCTTTTCTTTTTCTTGTTCTCCACGCGCGGAACATCCCATTTAAGTCATTTCATTCGAAAAAAAAAGACAATTTTTCGGCGGCTCATTCGCCTCGGGAGTGAAAGAAATGAGGTATAAATTTGAATTTTTCATTTTTGGATAGCATTTTGGATTAAGTCTTTAAATTAAGGTAATATTATTTTTTTTTATTATATAAACTATCTTTTGAGCTATTTGAGAAGTCAAAGATCAAATTTTGCAAAGAAATTTCCAATACGGTTCCAATACGGTTCCTTTTAAGGTTCCAATACGATTCCAATACGGTTCCAATACGGTTCCAATACGGTTCCAATACGATTCCAATACGATTCCAATACGGTTCCAATATGGTTCCAATACGGTTCCTTTTAAGGTTCCAATACGATTCCAATACGGTTCCAATACGATTCCAATACGATTCCAATACGTAAAGAAAATCAAACTTGCATGATTGTCATGATTGCCTGATGATTTCCAAGCTTCTTCAATGGGTTTTACTTTGTGTTTACAAGTAAACGCATACTTTCTAGCGCACTGAAGATCATATAAGGTCAAACAAAAGGAAACTCCTAGTGCAAAGAGAATGGCAAAGTTTGAAATGGTTTGAAATGAAGTTTACGACAAGAAAAGTTGCAACTTGCAAGAGAAAAAAGCCAAAAAATTCATTGAAAGTCAGGAAAATTTTTGAAACGAAAGCATCTATGATGTTCTCGAAAGAAGAAAAGGAAAAGGAACAGGGTGCAGAAGAGATCAAAGTGCCCATAAATCGTAATACCAATTTGGAGAAGGGGGGGAGGCGCACGCGAGCAACGGAAAAGAGGAGTGAGCCAGTCGACTATCTTTATGTGATCAGAGAAATCGGAAGTGATGGGGGAGTGAGCGTCAGCCTGGAGAAGACCCTGAATGGATGACGATCAAGGGAAACCGCTTTAGGACAGGTGCCCTTCTTCACTCAAAAAAACACAAACACAAATTCGAATTTCTTTTGCTTTGAAACTGGTTAGCATTGAGTTTGAGAAGCTGTGGATTTGAAATCTTTCTTTTAGCTGATTAGCTACCAAATTACTGATTAGCTACCAAGCTGATTAGCTACGAAATTACGAAATAAAGTTAGGGTATGAACCTTAGAAAGCTTTCAAACCTTTGTACATTTTAAAACTCTTAACACTAGCTCAAGAGTTGAGCTACCGTAGTCTGGAGTATGAATAATAATGAAGTGGGGGGTTTTTCTCTGTTGGAGAAAGGGGAAAGGAGTGCCTATTTTGGAGGAGAAGCACGAAGAATAGAAATGCATAAAGAAAAGAGAAAAAGGAAGAGAAAGAGTACTTCTTGGTGGTCGTTATCTAATATCCAACACCGAAATGATGGCCTTCAAATGGGCTCCATCTCGTCTCGACCACCCACATCCATATAGATGGCAGATTTGAGATTATAAGCTTGATTATCTTTAGACATTCATGATCTTAACATTCAATAATGTTAAGATCATGAAAATCTAAAGATAATCAAGCCAATAGAGTGCTCTTTGCCTTTTAAAGAGATTTCGGATTTTCTTATCTATTTTACCTACTCAAATTCCTATTTGTAAAAAAATATTCTTAAGGACAGAGCTAAGAAAAGAGCTAAGGAGAGCTAGGAGAAAGAAAAGAGCTAAGACAGAGCTAAGAAAAGAAAAAAAAAACTTAATTCAGTAATCATTTAGAATTTAGGATTTAGAATCAACAACTATTAACTGAAATAAACTATTTTCGATTATCACTTCTTTATTCATTGAAATATAGAAGGAAAAAATGAAAACAAAGAAAATAAATTCGTATTGTTTTGTTCAAAAATCAAAAAAAGCAACGAGATTCCGGAAGCGAGGAGTTGAAGCCAAGCGAGAAAGAGATGACTCACTTTGTATACAAGGACCTTATCCGCTAGGCCATCAACTCATCTAGATGCTCATCAAAAGCCTTTTAAGCAAGATGTTGAAAACTTTTGTCTTCGATGTCTGGGCAGTTTTGCGACATCTTGCTCAGCTTAGTCGGTTCTATAACTTCTTGAGCGT